CATTCACCTTTGTCACACTGGTGATTTAACACCACCTACATCACAGTCCAATCTCTTAAAGACTAAGCCATCCGTTCATGAGTGATCATCCTAGATTCACTCTTTAGCATCCTTAGGATGCCTATAAATATAGGGAATAGCCTTCCCAATATTCTTTTTTTGGTCCCTTTCATCCACAACAGTGTTCACCAACATTGCCATTGGGTCAAAGCCCACAGGCTTGACCACTATATCCCACTGACCTTTGAGACTTCCTCACCATGTGACCATATCCTTGGTTTCTACACCAAAGGACTACTCCTCTTCCCTTCCATCGAAATAACATTTTGGAACACTATAGCCTTATGTGAGCCTTGTGGGTACTCTCCCCACTTTCTACCTTTGAGTGCCCTAGCCATGTGGCTAGAGCAAGGTTTTAATGAATCATGCCAAATATCCAAGTAGGTAGTGCCACCCACACTTGGATTTGGAGTATCAACCATTTTGATTTCCTAGGGAGCTAGAGTCGGTTCTTAAACATTTCACCAAATTACCCTGTTTGTCTATTCATATTCACTTTAACCTTGGACTCCTCAATAGATATATCATCACCCAACAAGTAGATATAACCTTCCTTGGTCACATTGGCCTTTTTTAGCCAAACTAGCTCCACTTAAATCCTCCCTCTACTATACTTTTAGAGCTCACCAAACCCCCTAGGGTTTGGGAGACAAACGCTTTGGGCTTTCACCCTTAGACTTGGACTTAAACTCGGACTCAATCTAGGTCTCAAACTCAGTCTCAAACTTGGACTTAGTTTTGGTTTCAATCTCAATCTCGGTCTCGGTCTTGGTCTCGGTCTCAATCTTGGTCTCGGCCTTGGCCTTGACCTCACACTCCATCTTGGGTCCATCTTGGACTCCACCTCAAACTCCATCTCGGGTCCATTTCGAACTCCATCTTGGATTCCATCTCGGATTGCATCTCGGGTCCATCTTGGACTCCATCTCAGGTCCATCTCGGGCTGCATCTCAAGTCCATTTTGGACTCCATCTCAGGTCCACCTCAGACTTCATCCCGAACTCCATTTTAGGTCCATATCAGGTTCATCTCGGGTTCATATCAGACTCCATCTCGGACTCCATCTCGGACTCCTTCTCAGACTCTTTTTGGGACTTGTTCTTGACACTTCCATATATCATAACACTTGGCATATGTCAATCCCTCTTGTGTCCCTTTTTAAAGATTCATTCACCAATTGTTTCGTGCTCATCTCTCGAGCACTTTGTTTAAAATTTCACTCCTACTCTTGACTTTCCAAGTCAGAGCCTTTGGTCCAAGGACTTCTGCTTCGACCACTACCATGTGGCACCCTTTTTACTCCACTTTAGGGCTTAGGGATTTTTGTCTCACACTGATCTGGCCACAAAATTTAATGAGATTCTAATGGTGTGTAAATAGAATTTGTAGGCTGTTCAAGATAGAGCAAAGAAGTTTACTAATGAGCATCACCAATTCCAAAAATATAAGATGGGTGATCTTGTCTTTACGAGAGTAATCATTTAATCAAATGAGTGGGTGCCATTGTGGAATGGGAAAAGTGATAAACTTTCTTATCGATATGCTAGTCCATATGAAGTGTTGGAGTGCATTAGTAAAGTTGCTTATCGAGTGCAACTACCAACTGGGGTGAAAATTCATCTAGTATTTCATGTCAACTAATTGAAAAATATATTATCTCAAAGTGAAGGGCCTAATGCCTTTTTGATGTATACAACTGTGGAAAATGAACCAAAAGCTTAAGTAGAGTTCCCCATAAAGGGTGATCATCAATACAATTCATCTTTAGGATAAGGACTTTGTTGGGGGGGGGGGGGGGGGGACGAAGAATTTTTAAGAGCTAACTTTAAGGAGACTAGATATTTGTTTTTTTAGCATTGGGCCTTAATAAGTTATAACAACATGAAAAGAAGAATCATGTTTTATATTTCATCTAATTAGCTGCCAACTATTAAATGTTCATGGGGGAGACATCACCTTTGCCTCCACTCCACCACCTTTGTGCTACAATCTTATAAAAGCTTTGTATGTGGTGGGTGCTATCAAAGTACATGTAGCTATCTGGACAAAGGCAAGTTCAAATATTCACCCCATAAAACATTCTCCCTATGCAGCATCCCCGAGCAGTGTTGCTAAACTTATACTTGCTTGGGTTCTTCATCATCTCAGGCCATAGTAGTTTGGCTTGACCATTGCCATTCTATCTAGGCTTTTGCACAATCCATCTAGCATCTTGTTCAAGGCAACATTAAACATGACCAACATCTCATTCGTGTGTTTGTCATATTGGCCATTCTTGTAGTTCATAGGGATGCATCCCACTATCGAGAGCCCAATGATCACAAACGTCCTTGTGTTGCAGCTGTGCATCTGCATGATCTGCTATGCAAACCTGGCCAACAAGCTCACTTGGAAGTCTATTGGGAGTAAGGTGAGCCTGTTCTTGTTCATGCTGCTCCAAAAGAAGTTATTCAGATTGTTGTTCCCCATGCCGATGTAAAAGATGGAGTTAGCAAAGAACTATGAGGTAGCATGACTACCTATCATGGCACATAGAATCTCTACCACCCTTTCAAAGTCATCAAGCTACTGGTCCATGATGAGTGTGCCATTGAGGCAAGTGGTGGGTAGGATCTCGGAGCTAGCAAATGTGACATTCACACCTAGGATCTTGTCTAGAATAATAAGGAGGAGTTGCCAAATTTTTTGGGCTGCCGGATCCAGCCAATGGCAGCCATCTGATGGGAGGGCAGGGGGGAGGGGGGGAGGGGAGGGGGAGGGGAGTAATTGTTAAAGGATTATTTTTTTAACCATGTCTTAGCAAAATAATTGCATTGATGTTTGCTCTCAGCCAATGGGAGGTTGCTAATTTCCTAGGGCGAGAGAAGAAAGTGCTATGACTCGTGTCATATGCATGTGTTGACAAGCTTCACTAGCACCAGGAAATCCTTCTCACTTTGCCAAATGTGGATGATTTGCTTTGTCAAGTTCTCAGCTTCAAAAGGGTTCTCCAGCTCAACTCCTAAACATAACACCTAAGTCCCGGCACAACAATTCACCCAATCCTTGTTGCAATGCTTCTTTCCTCTCCTACAAAGAGGAAACTTTGTCAGAGATTTGATCCAAAGGAGGAAAGATTAATGAACTTGGGCATCAGATTCTCTAGTTTCTTCTTGAGCTGCTGGATCAAAGGGACACATATTGGCCTGGTTTACGTTGACAATGCTAGACATTGGAAGGATTTTTTGTGTGAACCACCAGTAGATGAGCCAAGGCATATAGTGTGAGACACTGAAGAAGAAGTGGTCACCCAGCAGCTGCTTGTTAAACACCAATCAACCCTTAGACATGGACATGCTTAGCCAGAAGTAATTTAGCACTGGAATGATTAGAGTCACATTGGCAAGCCCAAGGGAACAAGATCACTCGTAAAAGCAAGCAAAACAAGTTTATGATCAATAAAGGAAAAAAATTGAGTAGTAAAAATTAAATTGTGTTAGTTGAGTGAAGAAGACATTATGATGAATGCATGTACTTGATGATGCATTGTTGACTAGCATTAACACTCAACCTTTTGTAGTGGAGACTCATAGGGTTTTACAATTCCTTTTAAGGGCAGAGTTCCATGTGTCCCCTAGGGGAAGTTTTTCAAGGGGGGAAACTTTTAACCCCTTGTTCCATGCACCCCATTAGTGATATGGCAATGGAATTGGGGGAAAGGAGGGAACCTAGTGTCCCCTCCGAAAATTTCTCCTAGTGCTTGGAAACTGGTAGAACAAGTCAATAAAATAGTGCCACATATAATAGTAATTATTACTTAAAAAATACAAAACAAATTTAGCTGAGTTGGCAAAACCTATACTAATCATTATATAACCTTAAATTTTTAGAAGGGGGGATTTTTTTATCTGGGGTGGAGAATTTTTTAGGTGGGGGACACATGGAACCCCGCCCTATGGACTTTAATAGTTTCTTCGGGGGAAACATATGTTTACAATTACTTCCTCAATTCATTTTTCAAAGTTATTCTAATTTTGTTTTCAGTGTAACAAAATTATAAAAATCAAAACAGTGTTTGCTAATTAGGCAACATATGCTGGGCAATAGCTATAAAAATAAGGAGGAGTTACTAAACTTTTTGGACTGTCAGATTTAGCCAATGGCATCAATGTTGACATTTGCTCTACTTTTATCCAATGGGAGGTTGCCAATTGCCTAAAGCAAGTGAAAGTATTATAACACACATCACATGCAATGTGTTAACTAGCATTGACACTCAATCTTTTGACTAATAACTAATATATATACAAATATAATGTAGTCTGTTATAGTCTTAAAACATGGATAAGTTTTTTGAGCATGAACTTATTTTTATTTTTATTATTCACCATTGTCATCAGTGCTAGCCCAGCCCTTCTTCATATCATCAAGACGAGGAAACACTTAGATCGAATGGAGAAATGGAATCACTAGGCGGATCTCTATCTCAACCATACTCCCACAACTTCATGTAAGTCTTTAGGATCACTATCCTTTTTGGTGTTGTCAGCTTGTCTTGATCCGATAAGGACAAAGCTGACAGGAAAAAACCATGAAAAGGAAGAGGAGGTGGGATCTTAACATGGATAAAGATTTTAAAAAATTATACAGAATGATAATAAAATGAAATTTGTTAGAACAAAAAATATTGAGAAAATAATAAACAAAAATAATGTAGTCCGTTGTAGTCTAGTCGGTCAGGATACTCGGCTCTCACCCAAGAGACCCGGGTTCAATTCCTGGCAACGGAAGATTTCGTGAGCTTGCATTTCATACATATCTACGTTAAATTTATGGTTTCATGATCTTGAAAAACAGAATCCAAAGCTGGGGTGAGAGAGGCTCGAACTCTCGACCTCAGGATCACTCAAGGGCTATGAGACCTACGCGCTGACCAACTGCGCCACCACCCCTGTTATATCTTATAGAATAACAGGTTCCAACAACTTTATAATATTCGTTAATTTTTACCATCTCACGCAACTATCGTGTTTCGCCTTCCCATCTCTATGACTCGAGCTTGCTCCTCCCACATCCCGGCAAATCCATAGATATTGGACATGAGCACATACGCAGCAGCGTGCTTGGGATCCATCGCCACCACCGCATCAAACGCCACCCTCGCCGCCTCCACATCCTTCCACTTGTGACACGCCCCGAGGATCGTCGTCCAAGTCACCAGGGTCGCCTCAAACGGCATCTCTCTCGCCATAGCCACCGCTTCTTCCAGATGGTTAGCTCGTCCCAGAAGATCCACCATGCAGTTGTAGTGATCCAGCCCCGGCCGGATCCCAAACACCCCAGCCATCTCCTCGAAGCACTCCTTCCCCCTGTCCACCATCCCGGCGTGGCTGCAAGCCGTGAGAATCGTCCGGAAAGTTATCTCGTCCGGTCGGATCCCCGGCTGCTCCCTCCGCATCCTCTCGAACAGCTCTAGAACTCGTCCAACGTTGCCTTGGAAGCTATACCCGGCCATGAGAGCGCTCCACGAGACCAAGTTCTTCGGGGAGATGGTCTGGAACACCTCCTCCGCCTCGCCCATGCTCCCAACCTGGCCGAAGAAATCCACCAGCGCGTTGGCCACGAATACGTCCCCCTGGAGACCCGCGCTGGAGATATCAGCCTGGATTCTTCTCCCTCTCTCCAGCGCACCCAAGCTCCCGCAGGCCTTGAGCGCAGCGACGTAAGTGAAGGCGTCCGGGACGCAGAAGCGCTGCTTCATCCGGGCGTAGAACTGGAGCGCGAGCTCGCATTCCCCAGTCTGAGCGTAGCCGAGGATCACCGCCGTCCAGGACACCACGCTGGGCTCCTCCATCCTCCCAAAGACACTGCGAGCTTCGGCCATGCAGCCACACTTTGCGTACATGTCCACCAGCGTTGTCGCCACGAACAAGTCCGACTCGTCCCCTCCCTGAGAAGCCTGCCTGTGGATCCTTCTCCCGGTCTCAAAACTCCCGGCCTTGACGAGCTTCCCGTCTAGCCCCGGGGCTTCCGCCTCTGCCTCTGCCAAGCTCGAGCAAGCCTTGAGAGCCGCAACGTAAGTCACCGAGTCTGGAACACAGCCCTCCATCTTCATCCTCTCGAAGAGCTCTAGGGCCAGGCTTCCATCCCCGGCGAGAGCATAGCCAAGAATGATGCAGTTCCATGACACCGAGTCCCGCCGTTCCATCTTCTCGAAAATCCCGCGAGCTTCCACCATGGCACCACACTTGGTGTACATATCCATCAGGCTCGTTGCCACCGCCACCTCGAGATCGTCTTGGCTCCTGGCAGCTTGCTCGTGGATCAAAATGCCTCGGTCCAGGCATCTGGATCTCACGGAAAGATCTCCCTTTTCCGCCAGGCTAGCGCAGGCCTTCAAAGCCGCTAGAAGCGTGACGCGGTTTGGAGAGACGCCTTCTTCCTCCATTGCCGCGTAGAGCTCGAGAGCAAACTCCCCATCTCCGCTCTGCGCATAGCCAAGGATGATACAATTCCAAGAGACAACGCTGTGGAAATCCATACCTCGAAACACCGCCAGAGCCTCCGCCATGCTGCCACACTTTGCGTACATATCCACCAGCGTGTTGGCCACGACCACGTTTGCGTTGTCGCCGCTGGCTACCAGATCGCTGTGGATCTTCCTGCCGCTGCCAAGGTCCCTGGAATTCTTGCAGATTTTCAATGCCGCGAGCACGAGTCCGATGCTGAACGATCGCATTCCTTGTTGCACCATTGCATTGTATCTCCGGAGGATTTCCCTGTCTGATCCAGCGAAGCGATCCTTGCGCGGAGCTCTGGCGCGGCTGTGCAACACACGAGCTATAGCCGAGGTTGGAAACAAAGGGAGACTTACATGGGATTGGAGAGCGTCGCGCCCAGCGCCATGGCCGCGCTTCCATTTAATGACTAGGGCTCTTTTTACTTCTTCCAAATAGCTAAGAGCCAAGTGCGTTGGCGCTAAAACACAATTTAAATTTCTGCTGATTGCGATGGGCGATCGATGCTCCACTGTCGCAGCGGAGGCGTATGGATCATCCCCAAGTTTCTCATCCGTGGAATCCAGTTCTCGGCACAAAATGCGAGAATTTCCCAGGACAGCGTCACGGCGGAGCTGCAAGCTTGCGCCGAGGCCAAGAACCTGCGAGAGGGGCGACGAATCCATGCCCAGATCGCGCAGAGCCCCCATCTCTCCGCCAACAATTTCGTGATGAATCAGGTGATGCGGATGTATGGCAAGTGCGGCAGCCCCGAGGAAGCGCGCGGGGTTTTCGATTCGCTCGCTTGCCCCAACCGGTATTCGTGGAACATCCTCATCGCGGCATTTTCCCAGAACGGGCATTTGGAGGAAGCCAAGCAAATGTTCGACCGCTGCCCTAACAAGGGCGTGGTGACGTGGAATGCCCTCTTCCAGGCATATGCTCAGAAAGGGCATTTTCTGCAAGCCAAGAATGCATTCGATTCCATGCCAGAGAGGGACGCCATCTCGTGGAACTCGATGCTCGCCGTGGCCTCGCACCACAATCGCGTAGAGTATGCCAAGAAGATCTTCGATTCAATGCCGGCACTGAGCGTGCGGGCGTGGAACACGATCTGCCAAGCATTTGCCTTAGCGCGGGAATTGCCCGATGCCAAAGAGGCGTTTGATTCAATGCCCGAGAGAGATGTGATCGCGTGGACGACGATGCTCAATGCGTTCGCCGAGGAATCGGAGGTGTCATGGGTTAGGTTTTTGTTCGATCGAATGCCGGCGTGGGACACTCCCGCTTGGAACGCGCTCGCGCAGGCATATGCCCTAGCCGGTGACGCCGCGGGTGCCAAGCGCGTGTTCGATTCCACGCCCCAGCGCGACGTGGTGACATGGACGGGGCTGCTCAACGCCGTCGCTCAGGGCGGGAATGTCCAGCAGATTGAGTTCCTGTTTGAGAGAATTCCATTCCGGAATGTGGTGACGTGGAATATCCTTGTTCAGGCATATGCCCACTCTGGGTATCTGGAGAAAGCCCGTGCTACCTTTAACGCGATGCCTACCAGCAACATTTCCTGGAATCTCATGCTAAACGCTTATTCCGATAGCGGCCACGCTAGCGAAGCCAAGGAGCTGTTTGATAGGATCCCTGACCGGGACGATGTGTCGTGGACGGCGATGCTAACTGCATATGCCCAGAATGGGCATCTGGACGAGGCTCAAGGGATTTTTGACACGATGCCCCGCCGGAATGTTGTGGCTTGGACGGCCATGATCACGGCGTATGCGCAGCGCGCTCGTGTGGATATATTCGAGGGAATCTTCCGGCGTATATCCCAGAGGACCATCTTCTCTTGGAACTCTATGGTGGCGGCATATGCCCAGAACGGGCACGCAGTGGAGGCGGTGATGGTGTTTAGGGCCATGGCGCTCGAGGGCATCGCGCCAGATCTCATTGGCTTCTCCACTGCGCTGACGGCGTGTAGCCATGGCGGATTGCTTGCCACAGGCTGGCAAATCTTCGTGTCGATGCGCTGTGATTACGGATTGAAGCCCGGGAAGGATCACTACCGGTGTATGATCGACATTCTTGGTAGATCGGGGAGGATTATCGACGCGGAGGAGCTGATTCATAGCATGCCCTTCCTCCCCGACGAGATCGCGTGGGCGAGCTTGCTCTCTTCTTGCAAGATCCATCGCAATGCCGCAGCTGGGGCTCGTGCGGCGGCGGCAGCGCTTCGATTTGATGCCAGGGAGCCGGCCACATTCGTGCTGATGCAGGATCTCTACGCCGCCGCGAGCATCAAGAAAGAAATCGCGGATCCCTGGATCGGGGAGATTAATGGGGAGTTGGAAGAATATGGATGAAGAAGCTCCTCGCGCCAAAATTTCAAACAAAAGTAGCTGTGTTCTAGGGTTCTTCTTCCTAGGGTTTTTCGGCGCGATGGGGGAGCTGCTGGTGATGGCGGCCATCGCGACTTGCGTGAAGATCCTACTTGTTCCATCCTACCACAGCACGGATTTCGAGGTGCACCGCAACTGGCTGGCGATCACGCACTCGCTCCCTGTCGATCGGTGGTATGTCGATGAGACCAGCGAGTGGACGCTGGACTATCCCCCATTCTTCGCGTGGTTCGAGCGCCTTCTGTCGGCATTTGCAGCGGTGTGGGATCCCAGGATCGTGGATCTCAGCGCAGGGAAGAATTACGCCAGCTCTTCGTGCGTGTTGTTCCAGAGGGGGAGTGTGATGGTAGCAGACAGTGTGCTCTACCTTGGACTGTGGAGCTACTGCAAAGGTATGGCACCAGATAAGAGGAAGTTGGTCTATGCAGTGGTCGTGTTTTCTCCCGGGCTCTTGATCGTCGATCACATCCACTTCCAGTACAATGGATTCCTTCTGGGGATTTTGCTGCTGTCTCTGGCAGCGCTCAAGCAGGGAAAAGATCTTCTGGGCGGAGTGATTTTTGCCGCCTTGGTCTGCTTCAAACATTTGTTTGCCGTGGCTGGGCCAGTTTACTTCGTCTATTTGCTTCGACACTACTGTTCTGGCCAAAGAAGGCTGCGCAACTTTTTCCAGCTCGCCATTTCGGTGCTTGGTGTTGTGGTGTTCGCTTTTGGACCCTTTGCTTACTATGGCCAGGTAGGCCTTGCTTCCTTTTCGTCACCATTTTTGTGTACCAGCAAACTTTGTTTTCAGATCCAGCAAGTTTTAAGGAGATTGTTTCCATTTGGACGAGGATTATGTCACGCTTACTGGGCTCCAAACATCTGGGCTATGTACAACACAGCAGATAAAGCTCTGTCTATCCTTTTCAAGGCTGCTGGTTTTAAAGTAAATTCCACCACCGCGGCTTACACTGGAGGACTCGTGGGCGAGTTTTCATCTTATGCGGTTCTTCCAAGCGTGAGTTTTTTCGTCCTTCCATTTTGTTTCGCTTCTCACAGTACCTTAAAAAATGCAGATTACGCCGCTGATAACATTCGCCATGGTGTTATCATCGCTTGTCCCTTGGCTTTATAAGATTTGGAGAAACCCACAGCCTTCCAGAGTTGTCTACTATATCACATATGCTTACATGTGCGGCTTCATGTTTGGCTGGCATGTCCATGAGAAAGCGTCACTTCACTTTGTGGTACCATTCAGCCTGATCGCAGTGGAATCAATGGACAATGCAAACGATTATCTATTCCTTTCGACAGGTACCTCATGTGCACGTATCAATCTTGTGCCGCTCTCGAATGGTTTTGTATCGTTTTGTTTCTTTTGCAGTTTGCTACTACTCGCTTTTCCCCCTGCTCTACGAGGCCCGCGAGTATCCCATTAAGGTGTTGGTCCTGCTTCTCTATTCCACGCTTCTGTGGGATTGCTTTTCAAACTATTTCAGCGTCAAAGTGGACGGCAAAGGCGAAGACAAATCAAAAGCGTCACGACATTCAAGGACAGCGTTGGGAAGATTGAAATCAAGCTATTTGGCCGGAATGATTCTTATAGAGATATACGGTCAGTTTGGACACCGATTTCTCTTCCCGCAGCGGCTCGAGTTTCTACCACTGATGCTGGTGTCAGCTTATTGTAGCATAGGCGTCTTCTATATATGGGTGCAGTGGTTTCGGTCTGGGTTCTCCATCCACGACTGGTCTACTCTACCACCTCCGAGTAAGTAGCGCTTGCAGAAGTTCTCTCAGATCCAGTGATAACGATTAATTTACAGAGGACAAAAAATTTGGAGTCTAGTCCTTGAATGTAGAGCTAAAAATCGATGATGCGATGACGGCACAAGTCAACTCTCCGCAATATACATTCGGAAAATGTCGGCAGGATGCTGGCCTCGTCGTACGCATTGGCTGGATCTCAAAGGCCCAGCAGCACATAGTAGAGAAGATTGATGGGAAGTGAGATCAGCATGCCGAAGATTACACTGTAAGAAGAAAGAGACAACCGGGGATGGTGAGGCTTGTTCAACGACGCTCATCATACTTACGCCGTGCTGAGGACATCTGGATGGACGTTGTACTCCTTCGCGAACACAAAAGGAACTATTCCTTGTGGCAGTGCTGCCTGGACAAGATTCAACAAGAGTTTGGAAAAGTTGGGACATGGCATTGGCGATTACCTGGATGATGGAGGCCCTCAACTGGACATTTCGGAGGCCAACAGCAATCGATGTCGCAGACATAATAGCAGGGCCTGTCACGAAGCGAATGATCATCACGACAACAGCCATGGTAGTCCCGCAGGCTATTAAACTCGATTGCAGCGCCATAAAGAGGCCTGGAGAAGAAAAGTCTCACCGACGTTGGCAACCAATCAACGAATATAGTGATTGAAGTACTCACCCAGACTGAACATGGCCATCCCCAAGCCTGCGTCGGACAAGATTGTGATGGAATGCTCAAGAATTTTTGGCATTCCGACGTTCCATCTGCCAACAGATGACGAGCTTTAGCGATGAGACAAGCTAGGTAGAAATATGGATGAAGAGGATACCTGAAGGATATCAGGGCCCATGCAAGCCCGAGCAGACTTGCGTAAGTATTTGGATTTCGGATCAGCTTCTTCCACATCATTCTCACGATGAGTTTTGTCATGACTGTAGGTGGTGGCATTTGAGTCGGAGCTGACGAGTCGCTGTCAACCAGTTTCGGTGGCGTGAAGGGAACCTTGCAAGGCAAATGTGATTCGCTCTTCAGATTCTTCTCTGACAGCGGGGTGGTGTCTTCTCTTTGGAACAGAACGTTATCAACGAAGCTGAAGTCTTTGGCCATGCATGGATGTAATGGTGTGGAGTTCGACGGTACTACACTCGTAAGTAAGGATGTAAGTTTTCCTTGAAACAGAAATAGAAACGTACTTACTTTGAATTGACAGGTTCTTGTGGCTTGTCAATTTCCTGGTCTCGTAACAGCCTCTATCAGACGCAGGAGAGTTGCTCGAGCTCCACACCAGCATTTGCATCTCTCGAGATTCGTATTGCTGTTGCTGGTAGTCCATCTTTCTCGCGGCTTCAGCTAGTTTCATGGGAGAAAATACCTGGTTGCCGACAAACAATCTCTCCAGTGGGCCTGGACTCCTTGGAACTTGTTTCTGCAACTCATCATGAGCAGCGGGTCCGGTGGTGGTTTTGGGTGATGGCGAGTAATGGTGCCTGCCGGGGGTGTAAGCGAACATATTACTCTGCTCTTCCGAAGGAGGCTCCCTGGGAGTGTGCATATTGGAGGAGTGATTGGAGTAATGTGGAAGCTCGTTGCTCGACAAAGTGGTACTGGTTTCGATAGAGAGGCCGGGATTGTTGCTACTTGGTCGAAGGTGTGGACTTGAGCCGTGAGTTCCCGTCATCAAGCCGAGATCCGTATAAGAGCCTGTTGGAGTCATGTTCCTGGAAGATTGAACCGAGTAGATCTCTACTCCTGTGAGGTCGGAAGCTCTCGGAGTTCCAGCTTTCGAGGACAGAGGTGAAACAAGGCCAGGTGATCTCAGGAGAGAAATGCTGGAGGAGTCGTACTCTCTGTACATTGAAGACGTCGGTGGTAGTGGTGGTGGTTGTGGTGGTGGTGACCGCTTCACCTGGACATGTATTTTCCCGTCCTGTCCGATCTCGGCCTCGGTTTTGATCTGCTGCTGCTCTCCGTCCAGCGAGATGACATCCGGATCAATTCTAAAGGAGACGATGTTGGCAGCTGACGGTCCAGGAAACTGCTCCAAGATGAGATTTTTGGCACTTCTGTACTCGTAGAGGAAGAGCAGCAGCGTGTACCAGACAATGCACTGCAGAACGACCGCTTGGACGACTAATTCAGCTGGCTTCTCTCCGTACATCGCGACTTCGAGAGGAATCCCCAATACCAGTGTGTTTGGGAGCGTTGACACCATGAACAAGGTAATGGCCCAGTCCAAGTCTTTACTCTTTGTGTCACTGGTGCTCCTGACTGACGAGCTGAACTTTTTGAGCCTAGACCAGGATGCGAGGACTGCGAGAACAATGAGCTTCTGGAGGACATCAGCGGCTACGAACCTGGGATTCATGTCGTATGGATTGTTGTGCGCTATGATTTGAAAGGAGAGCAGAGGTACTGCAAAGATTGCCACAAATCTATTTATCCCAGAGCACTGTGCAGGTGTGAGCAGCTTCCACCATCGAACGGAGCCATAAGCAAGGATCATTGCGACATAGAGTGGCACCACAGCCGACATCACCGTGTAAAACTCTTGCAACGTGATCATCTTCGAGAATTGGAGCTTTGATCCCAGGAGAATTGTCAGAGGAAAGGAAGTTAGACGACCACGGAACCGCGAGAAGTTTTGTTCTCCTCACCCGCATTTGAAGTGAGGACACACAAACTCACATACAGACACACACACACACACACACACACTTGCAATCGGTCTAGAAGAGAGGTAATAGTATTTGAAGGAGTAAGATACTTAATTTCTTTCCTTGCTTGCCGCGGGCCATAGAAAAATGCGACCTGACAGAGGTGGTGATGAGAGGAATATTTAAGTTATTTGAGAATGGCCTCAATCACCACATATCTTCTCTGCTGCTGCTGGCTACAACATGCAACTCTCCTTTGCGAGCTAACGATTTCTCTCCTTTCTCTCTCACTTGATGGGGGCCTGGCAGCAGACTGCTACATTACAACGGTGTATTCTACCAACACCAAAGATTTTTGGCAACAGATCTTGGATGCATTCCATGTGATCGAAGCTGGTCCGTACAGAGCGCCATAGTTTATGGCACGAGTTTCTACGTAGAGTCGAGGAACTTCCCACTCTCTCAGGAGGTATTAAGCTGTCTTTGAAAATCTCTTTCGTTGTTCTTTGTTTTTACCAGGATCATGGTTTCTTACAAACTTATTCCGCAGTTAAGTCAATTCCTCCATGTGGACTTTGGAGTGCGCTTGGGTGCGAAAGACACACTGCACAGCTCCCCGTTGACGGACACGGCAACGAGCAGCTCGAGTTTAAAAGCGGCGTCGCGTTCCCACTTTGTCAAACGTGGTAAGTTTCTTATTCGTCACGCTTGTGATCTTCCTTCCGAGCATTGCAAAATCTCCGTAAGTTTAATTTTTGTCACGCCGGTGCTTCCAGGTTGGTTCGGATGATAGGACTGTCACCTCCATGTGGGCGATCATTTGCGGAGCGAGCACCCAAGACAGAAAAACAATCGCGGCAACTTCACCATTAAACAAGTGAGTCGCAAAATCATTGCTTACGAGACAAACGAGTATAACTCGAGACAACCCCAACCTTGCATTTCAGCGTGAAACATCTGTCAAGTCTCGACCAACAGAAACAAGGAAAAGGAACGATCTCGCGTAAAAGATGGACAATCCGGGAGCGTTGACAACATCTTAGCTTCCGGAAATGGTTCCCGAGGAGGGAGGGGGAGGAGCCGCAAATCAAACAGCTAGCTGGCTTGAAAGTTGGCGGGGTGCTGCCCGGGCAAATCCAGATTATGTAAAGTTGGAGCGAGGCGATGACGAAGAAAGGCCACCGGCCGCTGTCGAGTAGAAAAAGAGATGCTGAGGCGGTCCGGGTTTTTTTAGCCGATGCCTGGATCTGTGAACGAGTTGGAGAAGATTTTGCTGTGTCCATCGGGTCCGTGACATGGAGCGTCGAGATGATTGCGATGCGAGCTATTCCTGGGCCCGCAGTGAAGAAACCAAGTAAAGGTTCGTTCTCGATTCCCAAGAACCGCTAATAAAGAAGATTGATCACATAAACGTAAGTTTCTTCCAGGTTCTCTCTTTCTCCGTTTCGTTTCTTCTAAGCTGGGTTTTATGTTCGACTAATGCTTTTGATGTGGGTACTGAGGATCGTAATCTTCTTGAGACGGTGGGCCGGCTGAATTTTTTGCGACACCACTTGGTCAAGGCAAGCATAAGTGATAAGCTTCCGATTTTGGCCTGACTTAGTTAAAAATATATTTAGAATGTTCAAACATATTCTAGAATGTTTTAACACTTCAAACTTTTTCTAATTCACTTATAATCAAGGTTAATTCTAGAGAGCAAAATTTCCATATAAAATCAGCTATGTATCACTAATAAATTTTGTTTAGATTTCTAACAATTTAGTCCTGGCAATTTAAAAATTTAGGTTTTAGTATTCTGAAAGGTTCTTGAGAGAATGTTTTTATTATACCAAAAAGTGTTAAAATATAATTATTATTTTTAAATTTCATTATAAAATTAGCTATTTTTGGCAATAAATCAAATTCAGCTAGTTTTATTTTGAATTAAAATATGAACATTACAAACTAGTAATTAAATATTTTTATATAAAAATTATAAGGTAATTTTAAAGTAATTTCAACTTCTTTATTTCCACTTTTTGTGTACCTACAATTACCCAAAGTTAACCACTGATACTAAGTTATAATCTAGTGCTAAATGACAAGACAAAAAGGTTTAACCTTCCTAAACTATGTTATACTTTAAGTTATTACACCTTGAGTTGGCACTATGTTACTATCCTCATATTGTTTCTTCATTATTTTTAATGAATTTTTTTTCCTAAAATATTTTGTAGAATATTTAAATTATATCAAAATATGTTTTTTTAAATTAATCCATATCTATCTTATGTTGATATTTTTTATTTTATGTCCTATTTGAATGATTCAAGACACTCTTTATTTCTATTAAAACATAAGAGAAATATTTATAATATCATTGTCAATAACATCCCAATTATAAAACTCACAAATGCAGTTATTGGGAATACTATTGGGTGCACATTTTGGCTCCACCATATGGAGTTATGTGATGAATTAGATGTAGGTAATTCATTGGATGTAGTACAATTTGAATATAAAGGTTTTCCACATAACTCAGCATTTCCAATATAAGCAAAAGGGTCAAATGTCATAAATTGGCCACTGGTAGGAATTTGACCTGATAAGTTATTGAAAGAAACATTAAAAATAGCAAGTTTGGTAAGGAGCTCAAATGATCTTGGAATGTTCCCTTTGAAGAAATTATAAGAGAGATCCAATTCTTCTAGATCAAATATGGAGCCAATATCATTAGGAATGCTGCCATTAAGTAAATTATTTGAGAGCCTCAAATATTTAAGGCCCTTAAGTTTTCCAATATTCTGTGGAATATTTCCTTTTAATTTGTTGCCCGACAAATCCAATAATGTGATATCTTGTAGTAAATACTTATAGCAATAATTTCCTCTTTTAATATGAAGCACTAGTTCATATGATGAAATAGACTCATTAGAAGAAGAAATGGGATGTGTGAATGCTAAAAGGTTGTCAAAATTATTTGGAAGTAGACCTTCAAACTCATTATTATAGAGGTCAATCACTTGAAGTAAAGGGCAGTTCCATATCCAACCTGGTATATCTCCCGAAAACTTATTTCCACCCAAGTCTAAAACTCGGAGTTTAGGAGCAAAACTCCAATAGGGAACCGGGCCAGTTAATCTATTATCTCTTACACAAAAAACTTCCATATGAGTTGAGTTTACGCTTGGGAAGTTTCCTAAACGAAAATGTTATTAGTCTAATTAGTATAAATAACAAACAAACACCCACCTGTGAAACTGTTATTTCCTGTCACAAACCATTCCAGTTTATTGCAGTTTTCCAAACTTTTAAGGAAGTTACCACTAAACTTGTTGTTATCAATCAAAAACTTTACTAGATTTGGCATAGTCCCAAAAATATCTGGGATTTCCCCTTGGAGGATATTGGTAGCCAAGCGAAGAACTTCCATGTGTGAGCAATTTCCCAAGCTAGAGGTAATACCACCCGAAAAATGATTATTAGAGAGGTAAAGATCAGTGAGACTGCTAAGATTGCCCAAGCTGAAGGGGATATAGCCTGTGAGTTGATTAAATGATAGGTCAAGATACTTTAGCATCTTTTGATTATCTAAGCTGGAGAGAATAGATCCAAATAGCTTATTTCCATATAAGTCAAGATGAATAAGATTTGTCATATTGCTGAAGCTGGGAAGGATATCAGTAATATTACAGTCATATAAGGAAAGCATTCTGAGTTTATGAAGTTGCAAAAGTGGTGTTGGAAACGTTCCTATAGAAACTCCACTAATGTCATATTCCTTCAGTTCATGAAGTTGTCCAAATGAACCTGGAATCTTTCCTGTGAGATTTGTTTGTCCAAGATATAATTTTTCCAACCCAAGGATTTGCCCAATGGAAGCTGGTATAACACCTGAGAGGTGTTTGTTAAAGCTCACATTCAACACTTTTAAATAAGTAAGCTGCCCAATATCAGGAGAAATGGTACCAAATAGATCTTGGCTGCTTAAGTCAACCTTGATAACATGTCCAGTAGAATCACACTTCACTCCTGTCCAATTATAGCATACGTGCATAGAGTTCTCCTTGCTCCAGCTGCTCAATAGATGATCACCATGCTGATTGTAGATCCCCTTTGAAATGGAAATCAAGGCTTTATACTCCTCAAGCAAGAGATGGTTTTGAGATGCATATACATGAGTGCAAACGAGCAAGAATACCAATACTAGCCACTGCAAAAACAAAAAATAATTTTATAAAAGCATCACAAACAATCTGGTAACCACTAACCTGCTCCATGAATTTTTGTAAACTCCAGCACCTGAATGGCTGAGATGCTTTGAATCCAAGTAGTGTTTGCCCTATTCATAAGAATGTCCTATATTTGATAGGTTCAGAAGCCGTGTCTAACAGGTTGTGAAACCGTGTTTGACAGGTTTGTTTGACAGCTATATGATATTGACTTAATCTCTCCATCAAAAAGTTTATTTGAAATCAGCAAACCCAAAGTTTGAAATATATGTTATATGTAATTAAGTATTATTGAAGGACTAGATATTTCCCAGCATATGCTGCCCAATTAGCAAACACTATTTTGATTGTTATAATTTTGATACATTGAAAACTTAATTAGAATAATATCAATATTGTATTCCACTTTGAAGAAGTATGTATTTCCCCAAAAGAAACTATTAAAGTTCTTAGAGGGAATTATAAAATCCCACAAGTCTCCATGTAAAAGGTTGAGTGTTAATACTAGTCAACAATGCATCATCAAGTACATGCATTCGTCACAATGCTTTCTTTGCTCAACCAATGTAATTTAAATCTTGCTGCTCAATCTTTTTCCTGCATTGATCAAATACTTGTTTTGCTTGCTTTTATAAGGATAAAAGTTTGTTATTGGTTTGATCTAGTTTGTTCCCTTAGGCTTGCTAGTGTGGCTTTAGTCATTCCGGTGGTAAACTACTTGCTGAGGCCAAGTAGTGTTAAATAAGTAGCCACTGTAGCACATGTGGTTTTTACCCTTTATTTTATGGTGATTTACCATAGGACAACCACGAAGTGGAATCTCTACTTTCC